CGTGCTCGTCTTTCCTTTTTGCCCGTCGTGGTTGTTCATAGGCCCGGGCACGTTTCCGGCTCCTCTTATCTTGTTCTTGGTGGGGAGCACGCCGGCGGCGGAGAGGAGGAGGGTTGCGGTCGGGGGTGTGCGCAGTTGGAAGTGGAAGGAGCGGTCGGGGCGGACGGTTATGCGTGCGGGGATGGGGGTCCCGGGGGTGTAGTGGGCGGTGCGGGCGTTGAACTCCTGTTTTATTATCAGTATACATGCATTGGGTATGCGACCATTGCGCTGAAGATATGCGACAGCCGGGGAATACGATGAGACGTACCTTGCAGAAATCCATGCTCTTCACACCTTTACTTCCCAGCGCAGGACCGACGGGCGGCGAGGGCGACGCCTGCCCTGCGCCTACGATCAATTTGACGATTTGGTCTTTTGCTATTGCTTTTCGCGCCATGGTGTGTGGGGGTGTGGTTTGCGTTTGGGGTGGGCGCTGGGGAATTTGCGGAGATGGCCTCGGAGGTGTCGGTCACAGGGTTTTTCGGGATGTGGAAAGGTGGGGGATTGACGCGTTGGATGTATGGAAATAATGGGAATGCGATCAGGAAGTGATGGAGATGCCAATTCTAGGTATGAAAGAGATTCTGGATGTTGGTGGGATGACGATGCTGCCTGTCGTGCCACGTGACGACGTGATGGAGCTAATAATCTACGCGTCGCAATTCCGCCACCTGCGAGCACTGATCAGCATTCCCGCACGACACTCCCTTTCCTCCCATCTCCCACCACATCGACCCGATATAGGCTGCCAAACCTCACAGTGCCTACCAGAAGTGTCAATTCTTCATGCATCGACCAAAGACTCTCGCAGCAGGCGAGGCCACACCGGCGAAGCCCGCGGCGCGTCTTTATGGTGGCACTCCACAGTCAACCGAACGTCTTATCAAGCCCTTCCGCTGTCCCGGCTCAGCAACAGTATCCAGTGTCTCAACGAAGCCTGCAAGGAAGAGAAGGAAGGTCGACTACTCCGGTGCTGGAGGCGAAGATGGAGAGAGCGATAAGCCATACTCAAATGAAGACCGATTAGCCCTCGCCACACGAGACGCAAACCGATTTCCCGTCTTCAAGCCAAAAGACAAAGACACCGCATTCAGAACCAAGTTCATCGTTCCTTTAGTCAACAAGGATGTTGGAGCCTACAACCCGAATCGACCGGCACCGCTGCTTGGTATGCGAACCGGAACTGTTTTTGTTGCGCGACCACTGCACGACCCCAGCGGAGAGTTCGCGATAGTACTCTACGACCCCACAGTCGACGACAAGCCGATACCGAAGGAAGAGGCCGAACCCAAGCTGAGTCAGACAGAGAAGAAGGAGATGGAGGCGCCGCTGGTACACAAGAGTTTGGCGGAGATACTGGGGTTGAAGAAGAAGGTGGACAACGAGCGGCCGCGCGTGCCAGTCGTCATAGACCCGAGACTTGCGAAGGTTCTGCGACCGCATCAAGTCGAGGGTGTGAAGTTCTTGTATCGCGCGACGACGGGTATGATCGATCCGAAGGCGAACGGGTGCATCATGGCAGACGAGATGGGTCTCGGAAAGACGCTACAGTGTATCGCGCTTATGTGGACGCTGTTGAAGCAGTCGCCCGATGCTGGCAAGTCGACGATACAAAAGTGCGTCATCGCTTGCCCGTCGAGTTTAGTGAGGAACTGGGCGAACGAGCTTATCAAGTGGCTTGGGAAGGACGCCGTCACACCCTTCGCGATCGACGGAAAGGCGTCGAAAGAGGAGCTGATCCAGCAAATACGGCAATGGTCGATCGCATCTGGACGCGCAGTCGTCAGACCTGTCCTCATTGTGTCATACGAAACCCTGCGACTCTACGCCGACGAGTTTGGACAGACACCTATCGGGTTAATGCTTTGTGACGAAGGCCATCGACTCAAGAACGGTGACAGTTTGACATTTACCGCGCTCAACAACCTGAACGTACAGAGGAGAGTTATCCTTTCCGGTACACCCATCCAGAACGATCTGTCAGAGTACTTCGCGCTACTCAACTTCGCCAACCCCAACTACCTTGGCACGCGCATGGAGTTCCGCAAGCATTATGAGATCCCTATCTTGAAGGGTCGCGACGCGAACGGAACGGATGCGGACATTAAGAAGGGTACTGAGCGCCTCACCGAGCTTCTCGGGCTTGTCAACAAGTTCATCATTCGGCGAACCAACGACATTCTCTCCAAGTACCTACCAGTCAAGTACGAGCACGTCGTATTCTGCAACCTTGCACCGTTCCAGAAGGACCTCTACAATCACTTCATCAAGTCACCCGATGTCCAGAGTCTACTTCGCGGCAAAGGTTCGCAGCCGCTCAAGGTCATTGGCATGCTCAAGAAGCTCTGCAACCACCCCGACCTACTCAACCTACCAGAAGACTTGCCAGGGTGTGAAGACAAGCTACCGGAAGACTTTGTACAAAAGGACGCGCGAGGCAGAGATCGCGAGGTCAAGACATGGTACTCCGGCAAGATGGCAGTCTTGGATCGCATGCTGGCTCGCATCCGCGCCGAAACCAACGACAAAATCGTCCTCATTTCCAACTACACGCAAACCCTCGACATCTTCGCCATGCTATGCCGCTCACGCGGCTACGGCTGCTTCCGTCTCGACGGCACCATGAACGTGAGCAAGCGCCAAAAGCTCGTCGACAAATTCAACGACCCCGAAAGCCCCGAGTTCGTCTTCCTCCTCTCCTCCAAAGCCGGTGGCTGCGGTCTCAATCTCATCGGCGCGAACCGCCTCGTCCTCTTTGACCCTGATTGGAACCCCGCTGCTGACCAGCAAGCCCTTGCGCGTGTGTGGCGTGACGGGCAGAAGAAAGATTGTTTCGTGTACCGCTTCATCACCACAGGCACTATCGAAGAGAAGGTCTTCCAACGCCAGTCCCACAAACAGTCTTTATCGTCTTGTGTCGTCGACAGCGCGGAGGATGTGGAACGCCATTTCTCACTCGATTCGCTTCGCGAGTTGTTCCAGTACCGCGACAATACTACGAGTGACACACACGACACGTTCAAGTGTAAGCGCTGTAGGAAGGAAGATGGGAGACAAGTCGCGAAAGCGCCTGCGATGCTTTACGGTGATACGAGCACGTGGAACCACTTTGTTAATGATGGCGAGAGTGGGCCATTGGGCAAGATTCAGGATTTGTTGTTGAGGCAGGAGACGGGCGATGGGTTGAGGGATGTTAGTGCTGTGTTTCAGTATATTAGTCATTGAGTGGGTGGTATGGTGTGGGTGTGGGATGAAGGTGCTGATGAGCAGGATGGGGGTGTTGTCAGCATGTGTCGTTTGCATAGAGTTTTTTTTTCGAAGTTTTCAGCGTTCATGAAGCGTGGTGTTAAGATGGGCGGCGCTGGGTAGTGGGTTATGATAATGAAATATGATATCTTTACTTTGGCATGATTTGGTCACTGCGCTTTTTGCATCTCATGTCGCTCATGTTGATATCGAGCATACGCACTTTGCAAGCAAGCATCGCGGTTGCCGAAACCTACCTGTCGCCCTATGATCATGACGCACATCCATGGATTCGCCTATCTCGATGTGCCCATATTCCTAAAGCGAACATGTCGTGTAATCGCTGTTGCCTCATTTGCGAGAAAGCGTTCCAAGTTGCGTCATGTTGTTTGAAGTAATGACTCTTGGAACATGTCGTGTAATCGCTGTTGCTCCATTCGCGAGAACGCGTTGCGTCATGCTCTTTGAAACAATGACGGAGTCACATGAGATGAAGTGATCGAGGTGGTTGGTGCGGCCAACTGTGGATGTTGATTTGCAATCCGCGGTCCTTGGCGTGGTGGTTTCTTGGTTGGGAGGGAAGTTGCGACTTGATGTTGGGGCTGGATGGCAGGTATTGGGTACAGAGTAAAACGGCGGAGGGTTCATACTCTTCCATGTATGTCGGTCGCTTCTTTGTTTGAGTCGCAGATGGTCATGCGCTTCAACAAAGGATGCCGAAGGCAACGTGGGAAGCTCAAGAGCATGTGCCATTATGTGCCGGAGTACTATTCAGCACTGTGAGTATGATATCGTTAGCGGGTATGGCACACTTCTCCGGAACCTATAGATCGAGTGCCCTGCCTGTAGCAGACCCATGGTGTTCGCTCCATTCATCCCAGGCACAGTACCAAAGTCTGCGATGACTTTCATGCTGATACGTGCCGCACTCTCAGCATGCACAATATTTCCAGTCCATGCCTACCATCAGTACCGTTCATACGCAAACTCACCTATCACCACCACTGCGTTGTTCTCTCGTCTCCACTTTTACTATCACCGTTCCTTCTCTTCGTCGTGGCTGCCTATGACGTAGCCCCACTCTTGTGACTCTTTTACACCCGCCCGAGCATGCTTCAGCCAACTCACCTCTCATCTCTCATCCATGGTTCCATCGGTACCACTGCCTCTTACCTACCAGGCTGCTGTCCACGCTAGTCTCTGAGACGCCGCCTGGGCATATATCAGGCTCCTCCCCGTCCTCCTTCTTCCTCTCAACTTCCATCATCCCACTGTGTGAAGACCAGCACCTGGAAAGCGCCTACCCTGAGGCTACAAGAACTTTTCATCTGACGAACCAACGAAACGTACGGCGTTGTATCCTCCAGGCTCAAGTTTTGTCTCCATCTTGCTGCGAACAAGTTGAGGATTTCACGAACTTTTCATCTGACGAACCAACGAAACATACGACGTTGTATCCTCCAGGCTCAGGTTTTGTCTTCATCTTGTTGCGGACAAGCCTCGTTGTAGTCGGCAACCGCCCGAAGTTTCCATCCCGCTAGCTAGCTCGCGCCACCTGGTCCGAGCTCCAACATTTCGTAGTCGAGCTCCACCATCCGAGTGAACCCTCGACGCCCACAAACCTCGCGCGCACACGCATACCATACCCTCGACTCGACACCACGCTCCCGCCGAATCGCGCGACCGCCAACACACTCGAACTACCGCACATCATGGATTCCAAGCGCCGCAAGACCGGCGACCAGGATGTCAGCGCGTTGAGGTTGGCGTCGCGCCAGAAATACCTTGCCGAACGCGAAGCGCAACAACTCGCCCTACTCCGCCGCCAGGTCGCCGAAGAAGCAGAAGAGGAGGCGAGGCTGGGCAACAAGCTGAGCGAGAGAGAAAGAGCAGAGTTTAAGAAGAATCGTCAGACCCTGGAGCTGGCCGAGGCGCGCAATGCCATCGACGATTCCCGACTACAGGATGGCTTTCATTTTCAAACGGACTCGGATAACCCCCTCCTGGAGGGTACCGCGAGTAAAAACGACGTACTTTATCGTCGACACAACGACGCGTACGACTCCAGGCCTCAGCAAGATGTTCCAGATGCGTACACGTCAGGTCCACGTATTCCTCAGGACCAAGACTACGAATACGTTTTCGATACAGCTAATGAGGTGCGCTTCACAGCGGAGGATGTAGCTCGCATGGACCCTGCCAAGCAAGCTCTTGAAGCTCAACTCGATGCCGCGGAGAAGCGAGTTTTGTCAATCAAGGAAACCCGCGAATCCCTTCCAATCTTCAAGTATCGACAGGAGTTACTCGATGCTGTGGCCAACTACCAGACCCTCGTTATCGTTGGGGATACTGGGTCAGGAAAGAGTACGCAGACGCCCTTGTATCTTCAGGAAGCGGGCTACACAAAGGGGGGTGGGATGATCGCAATCACACAACCTCGACGAGTTGCGGCTATGAGCGTTGCCAAGCGCGTAGCAGAAGAGTTTGGCTGCAAGGTTGGCCACGAGGTCGGATACAGCATTCGTTTCGAAGATCAGACTGATCCGCAGAAAACGGTCCTGAAGTTTTGTACGGACGGAGTGTTGCTTCGTGAAATTCAAACCGATCCCCTTCTATCGAAGTATTCTGTAGTCATGATCGACGAGGCACACGAAAGGTCCATTGCTTCTGACCTTCTGCTTTGTCTTTGTCGCGAAGTTTGTCGAGCCAGACCGGAATTCAAGCTCCTCATCCTCTCTGCGACCATCAACGCCAGCAAGTTCTCCGAATACTTCGATGGCTGTCCCTCCTTCTACGTGGAAGGGAGAAATCACCCGATCGTAAGTTAAACTGTCGATTTACATATGAACATGTACTAATCTACCTTAGGACATCCGCTACACAATAGCTCCAGAAGCAAACTACCTAGCCGCAGCATGCACGACTGCTTTACAAGTCCATCTTGCAGCTGATCTGCCCGGGGATATCCTTATATTTCTTACTGGCGAAGAAGAGATCCTAGCTGCTGTCGAAAATCTCGAGACAACTATGAAGAAACTCGGGAACAGAGTTCCAGAGCTCATCGTGCGCCCCCTCTATAGCGCACTTTCTAGTGAGGCTCAAGCCAAGGTCTTCGAGGAAACGCCTCGTGGATCGAGGGCTTGCATCGTCTCAACGAATTTGGTAAGTTTACCCATGTACGAATGAAAGAAGAACATGTACTAATAATGTATGTCTAGGCTGAGACATCAATCACAATCAACGGCATCAAGCACGTTATCGACTGCGGATACGAGAAAGCCCAAAGTTACGACCCTGTCAGCAACGTTAGTTCGTTAGTTATCAGCCCCATTTCTAGAGCATCTGCGAACCAAAGAAGTGGTAGAGCTGGAAGAACATCACATGGTCAGTAACGCCCCTATATGAAATGCATTTGAGAAATATACTAATATCGTACGTTAGGTTATGCATACCGCCTGTACACGAAACACGCTTTCTACAACGAGCTCCCCGAGCAGACAGAGCCCGAGTTGCTCCGTAGCAACCTCGATAGTGTCATTTTGACCCTCAAAGCGCTGAACATTGACAACCTCCTCGAGTTCGAATTTTTGGATTCCCCACCAAGTTAGTAATATCCATGTACGAACTGTATGTGAGACAAGTACTGACATCTTTAGGTTCTTCTGTAATTCGATCCCTGGAACAGCTCTACAGTTTGGGCGCATTAGACTCGACCGGGAGGCTGACGCGACTGGGGCGGAGGATGGCAGAACTGCCGCTCGACATCAAGCTTTCGAAAGCTCTACTTGCGTCAGAACATTATAATTGTAGGGAGGAAGTGCTCAGCATCTCTGCTATGCTCTCCGAAAGTACCAGTCTGTTCATAAGGCCTCGAGACAAGAAGGTAGCAGCTGATGCAGCAAGAGCGAGGTTTGCGAGCACCGAGGGCGGCGATTTTATGACCTACCTCAACATTTGGAACCAGTACGAGGAAAGCGGCTTCGATAGTCGTTGGGCTACTGAGAATTTCCTCCAGTGGCGATGTCTCAGTCGGGCCAGGAACGTTCGCGATCAGCTCCAGAATCTTTGCGACCGCGTTGAAGTACCGTATTCGAGTTGTGGCAGCACAGATCACGTCGCAATCCGGAAGTGCATAACTTCGGCCTACTTCGTCAACGCTGCTAGGCTCGCGCGTGATGGGCTGAGTTATCGCACAGTATCGAACAACGGAATGACGGTGTTCATCCACCCCTCCTCAAGCTTGATCGAGAACCGGCCAAAATGGATTGTCTTCTTCGAAATCGTAGAGTCATCCAAGACTTACGTACGATCCGTCTTACCCATCCAACCAGAATGGCTGGTCGAGGTGGCACCTCACATGCACACTGAGAGCTCGATATCCAAGCTCGGCGACAACAAGAAGATGCCCAAGGCGACAGCGAAGATGCTCAAGGAAAGATAGAAGGGAGGCCATGAGTATCAGATGAGCGTCAACACGAGCATGACTTGGGGCGCGGCCCAAGTCTTTGGTATAGCAACTCAGAAGCATGCTGTGTAGAAGAGTTCGACTTACCATGTTTCACTTCCAACGGTGCGCTTTACAAACCAGGTCATTTTTCGACATGCGTGGTTTGTGGTACATAGCAACGTTTGCTATCCCGGAATGCCTTGCGCACAAGGCTGCGATGTTCATACGATACTGGTTTTGCGAGATCGAGGAAAAGGCGTTATAGGAGGAAGAAGGATGGTTTACTGTATTTGATATGATACCCCATTTCCTAATTGTTTGGTATGGCACCTTCGGCTTTTAGCGTAGCATAATGCATGGAAGACTTTAAGTGCAACAATATCTACATGTTGGTACCGTGAAATGCTCTGAACTCTCGTGTAGTTGCAGTTAAGAATGAATCTTAGGGCGGTTAACACAGGTGGAAACCGGCCGGGAGTACAAAGCATGCGTTTTAAGGTTGGTTATGCTGCATTTTCATAGTAAATAATAAACTTATGTACGTAGTGAAAGCAAGTAGCTGCGAATGCCTTGAAGCGTTGCGATGAGTTGAGGTATGTTTGGCTCTTGGTACGAGAATGCATCCAGCAATTTCGTTCTATTCGAAGATGTCAAGTTTACTTGATACCGCCTGGCTAGCCTATAACATCTAGATACTCTACTATGGCTTACATTGTATGCTTCAAACGGGTATATAGAAGTGAGTATTTATGCTTTAACCTTCGTGGTAGTCGCATCGCACACTGCGGATTTGGTCGGAATGCAGCTAGAGACTTTATTACGACTTATGTTGTATGCTTCAAACGGGTATATTGAAGTACATATTTATGCTTTAAACTTCGCGGCAGTCTTATTGTACACTGCAGATGTAGTTAGAATACAGCTAGAAACTTTGTCACGACTTATATCGTATGCTTCAAACAGGTATGTTAAAGTAAGTATCTATACTTAAACCTTTACGGTAGTTGCATCGCACACTACAGATTTGGTCGGAATATAGCTAGGAATGTTATTATAACCTATATTGTATGCTGTAGACCTATACATTAGGATGTATACTTCCGTATCTGTGCTAATGTAGCAGGCAAGATCGACATATTCTAAGCCAACTATATCTATAATACACCGCAGATTTAGTCGGAATGCAGCTACAAACATTATCACGACCTAAATCGTATGCTTTAGACCTATGCATTCGAACGTATACTTCCGTATCTGTGCTTATGTAGTAGGCAAGGCCGACATATTCTAAGCTAACAATGTCTATAATACACTGTCCGATTAGCAAGACAGTAGTCTGAAACCAGATCGTAGCCCATATCGTACGCTTTAGGCCTATGCATTAGGATGTATTCTTCCGTCTCTACTTTAGTGTAGTAGCCTAGGTCGAAATATCCTAAGCAAAGAAAGCCCATAATACACCGTCCGATCAGCAAGATGGCAGTTAAATACCGGATCATAGCCTGCACCGTGTTCTTCAAAGCGATATGTAGAAGTACAGATCTACTTCGTGGCCTTAGAGTAGTTGCCTGAACCTACTACCGTAGCGCGCACTATTAGGGAGCTGGTAGGGATAAGATGGCAATACAGTTCGCTGAGAGGCTGTCCGAGGCCTCTTGACTGCTTTCGCAGCGTGATTTTCGGTGTTGTACGGAATGGATCGGCTGTGTGAGCGATGCGGGGAGGTGAATGTTCCACGCTTTTACTGCAAAGAAAAGTATCCCTTTGGTGCGGGAGAGCAGCATGTCTTGAACTTACATTTTGCAGCTACTCCTAATAGCCCTCGTATTGACGTTGGTGGTGATGTTGGCTGGTGTTGCTGGTGCTGCTGCGGTCGTGGTTGAGATAGAAGGGACGACCTCTTGACAAACCCAGAATTTGACATCAATCACACTCTGTTGGGCTAACAGTCCATAGTCAGCTATCATACCTCTGACGGCTTTTCCAGAGGTGTTCAGAGACATGCGCTTTTTGATTGTATGCGACATGGAAATATGATACGAGGTGTGGCGTTTTCTACGCCCTCGCACGAGCGCCTTGGGGCCTGCGCAACCTTCAATCTCGTTTCTAGTAATAGCGACGCCGCATCTAGAATGTAACTTGAGTGGATTCTAGCTTTTTGATGCTTTTTGCGATGCGAGTACCGAAGAGAAAGGCTTGTCTAAGAGGATATTGGACTATTGTTTGTTGATTACTTGTCTGTCTGTGATATTCTTGTGACTCGAGTTGGCGAAGACGAGAAAGTTGGAACCGGCTTCAGCAAGCCTTCTGATATGGTTGAGCCCTACACTAGCGTATGATCTGCTACATATAGGCTATCAGAGTACTTGTAGTTGCCTCACCGATCGGAAGAGATGCCGAAGAATACCTGGCTTGAGGCTGTAGTCGGCAGATGGACTCGTGCTACCGAACGGGAGCCGACTTGGGCGGTTGACATCACCAGGTGGATAGTGTAGGAAGGGTTGATATCGGTTCACAATACGACGCCCTGTCATCGGCGGAAGGTATGTGCGCTGGTGATGACACTGCCAGGCCTCATGTCGGCAGATACAGACTTCCAGCATGCTGGATAGACTGCGACAACCACCCGCAACAAACCTCACTGACATATTCGATGTGCATGTACTTGGTAAACCTGTCTATCATCTCTTTGAATGAACTCGTAGCTTTTCCAGTAGTCGTCGTCTTGCTTATACCTAGATCTACTACTGTTAGGCCTTTTCTAGCATACGAAGTATGTCGAGAAGCTCGTGCACCAGCATGCAACCTACACAAGCATATATCCCATCCTCCAGAACTATCCCGGGGCTCTTCACGAGCTTGTTTTGCTTGTAGGCCTTCGCAGGATCAACTTGGGCAAACATGCAACCGCCAAGTACCGTGCCGTCACGCGCGGTGTTTGTATCCCATATGCTAGCAGTCCAAGGCACAAGGTCGGGTCGCATCTGCCGCAAGAAGATGTACGTGTCCTTGATAACCTTTTGTCGGAAAGGCATGTTGTTGTACAGTTTCGAAGCGCAGACGACTTTGACGTGGTCGTCAGCCCTCGGCTCTGGTTCGGTGTAGTCTTCGTTGTGGGCATCTGATGAGAGTGTGATGGGTGCGTTGACGGTCCCCGTCCGCTGGCGCTTTCGCGGCGGCGCGGGCGACGCGGGAGGAGACGAGGGGTGAATGGGCTTCGCGTCGGGAAGACGTGTTGTGCATCGGCCGAGCCCGCACTGTGTAGGTCTTCGATATGAGCATGCGCCGGAAGAATATTCTGGTCGGCTTCTGGTACTGGGACAGGCAGCGTCTCGGGCAATGCAATGCCAGCCCATATTGTGTCGAACGCTCGCAGCCTTTCCTCGGTGGCGTGTAGGCCTTGGAATTTCGTTCCTTCCAAGGTTGGGGACGCTTACACCTGCCAATATGGAAGCGAACGTGACGGAAGTAAACACCAGTGAGGCGGCTACATAGGCATCGGCGTCGGTCTTTGAGAAGGCGATATGTGTTTACGTTAACTACGTCTATTCTGGAGATACCACCGACGACTATCGCGGCTTGTTGTAGTAGTCTGGCGTTTCGATTGTTGGCTGCATGACTGTATCCATGGCTTTGGATGCGGTATCTACGTGCGATACCCTCGCCACGAAAGGAGGCAGCTGCGACGGGAAGCGCTCCTTCCCAGAACCCTGATATTAGTCCTAGCTCTTCAAAATAATCGGGATGCAGACGCGTGAAGAGAAAAGCTCCTGAATATTGATGAGGTTGCCATGCTGTTTTGACTTAGACCTCTTGAGCTTACTTCCCCGATGAATCTTCCTCTGCCAAACTAGGCCTCTCTGGCCAACACAAGATGCCCAGATAAGACCGGATAAACTTTCGTAGCACGCAACGACGTCTCCTTGGATCATGGTTGGGTGACCGGAAGATGACAAGCTGACCCCGGCTGTAAGATAGTGGTTTGGTAGAAGCGCCAGGCGCAAACGTGTACGTATGCGGCATCGCTCTGCCAAAACGAGTTCGCCATATCGCGGCTCTCGGCATGTCGTTTTCGTGAAGGAGTCGCATCCCAAAGTCTCGCCATAGATCCTACGTTCTCGAACAGCGCGGCATGCATCGCGCAAGCCACGCGTCAAGCCTCTCCCCAAGCAAAAAAGCAATATATCCGCTCGCCTACCCAAGTCCTGCAAACAACATCAGGAATGGATATACGCGCCGTGACTAAAACAAAGGGTCGCAAGAGCCGAGATGCCGTCGATTTATTGTTAGGTTGGACGAAAAGTGACGCGTTCGGTATGTTGGCGTTCTTGGGGAATGCACGGGCGGATGAATGGGTGGGGGGCCACATGCTAGACATGCCAGGCACGAGTTGCGGCAGGGTAAGGCGGCCTGTGTAATTTCCCGGTGCAGGGTCTCAGGGGCGACCCGACTTGAACGGTGGTTCGTGTGCGAGGATCAGGGTAAAGAAGGAAAGATTGTCAAGACGTCAGTACATGAGATATTTGAAGACGACGATAGTGGGAGATGTTACACCACAATTTGCAGAGGGGAATGATGTGAAGCTACGATCAAATGCATTGATGGTAAAATATGTACAGAAGGGTATCAGGTAGACAGTCAAGTCGTAAAGTAAAGGTGGAAATCATGTCATTAAGATAGCCAACTCTTCTCAGAACAGGCAAAGAGTCTAGGAACAAAAAAGACCACCGGGGACCACACGACTCCCTCCATAGGGCCAGTAAGCATTCCAACCAAGGCGTATTACAATACCAAGTATATCGATCCATCGAAATGCCGCTGCGACTTGATTGCGCAAGGAAGCAAAGGGCTCGTACCACCAACACCGCGCTCCCAATCCTAGACTGAATCGTGATGCAGAGTCGAAGTCGTAACCCGTGAAGCCATGTTTTATTTCCTCCTCTTTCCACAACTCGAGAAGAGACTGGCAAGGCCATGATGGAGAACCATGGCCCGACAAATCACTCAAGAGCGAACTGCTTACAAGAAAGCAGCGAGGGCACCAGCGATGGCGAAGAAGCCAACGGAGACCTTGCCGGCGGCACCGGTGAACTCAGCGGGCTTGGAGGCGCTGGGCATAGCACCAGTGCCAGTAGGAGCAGCAGTTCCGGCAGGGACGTGGGGAACGGTGCCGTTGGAGGAGGGGTAGATGGGAGAAACCGGGGTGTAGGCAGGCGCAGTGTGCTCAGCAGCCGGGACGGAAGCAGAGGTGACAGTGGGCATGGGGACAGCCGGGATCTCGGGGGTAGGGGTGTGGACGTAGGTAGCAGTGTACTCAGGGATGCTGAGGGTGGTGCTGGAGGAGATGGTGTAGGTGGAGACACCGTAGGTGATGGTGGTGGGCTCAGGGCAGACGTAGCTGGTGGCGTGGACAACCTCGGTGGTGGTGTAGGCGGGCTTGGAGGCAGAGTAGACGGGAGCCATGGAGCTGGCCTCGTAGGCGGGCTTGGAAGCCTCCATGGAAGCGGAGGGGGTCTCAGCGGGGTAAGACGGGTACTCAGCAGCGGAGGAGGTAGCGGCCTCGTAGGCGGGCATGGAGCTGGAGGCCTCGGGGGTCTCAGCAGGGTAGGCGGGGTACTCAGCAGCGGCGGAGGAAGAGGCCGGGGCAGCAGGGTAAGCCTCGTAAGCCTGGGGAGCGGCAAGGGCAACGGCGGCGAAGCCAGCAATGACGGCGAAGGAACGCATCTTGATGTTTGGTTTGGGGGGTGGGTATTAAAATACGGAAGGTATTAAGTTGTAAGGCGTTGGAGGTCGTTGAAAACGAGTGTGATCGGTGATAACCGTGTATTAGTGAGTGTAGTGAGTGTGTGGTGAGGAATCATCTGAGGAGCAGCTGGCGAAGCCATTATATAGAACTATACACGAGCTGGCCTTACGAAGAGCGCCAGCGTCCATGAACAGGGGGCATTGGCGTAGTTGCATTCGGTTGGCAGTATCGCGAGGGCTCTGGCGTGCCGGTGGCGCCGTTTGGTGGACTGTGCCTGGCATAGTACGAAATAGGGGAACCTGTGGAAAGCTTCGACATGGGCCGTTGTGAGCTGTTTATTGATGGAAGTCGAGCGGGCCAATCAAAAGGTGGATTGCGTGCAGAAACGAAATGAGGTTGACAATTTCCCCTGCCAAGGGGCCTTGCCGCCCCAACACATCGCCCGTCGTTCTAGCTGCTTTTGCCGCAAGCGTTCGATTTGTGCACGCGGAACATGTTCAATCGCCCGGTAGGTACCTATCTCCGGTTCGTGATCCGCACCTGCATGTCAGCTCTGAGCAGAGAAGAAGCCGCGCGACTGTATCGAGGTGTAAGACACACTGGCAGCTGGCATTGGCGCCGAGCCGCTGACTGTGACAAAGAACACCTGAACAGAGCGACGATTAGGGGCTCCTTGCCAGAGGCACTGGAATCCCGATCAGAGTGGAGATGGGTAATCGTGACAGCATCTGGAGCAATCCCCGCGTCTGAGCAAAAATAGCTTCGCTGATAGGAGAAGGGCCAGATTGGACCGGTCTGATGCTGGCGAGGTCGTTGGTTCACGATGGACTGGGGACGTGCGGGTTCCTGCATTGCCCTTGCATCTAGACCTCGACTAGATCCAGCGAAGGGCCGACAGCCCGTCCAGTGTTGCGAACTATTGTAGCCATCGAGATGTCGCGGAAAGCTGTTGCCGGAGCTGCTGTGATCCTCAAGGCTGGCCGGCTCTCAGCTCTGTCTCAGCTCTTGTCATACGGGAGCTCTTCTTGCGAGAGTCATCCACCCACAGCATTCCTTGTAACATTGGAAGCGCAATCTCGCATCTGGCATTCCTCAGGAGAGGCGCATGAGCTTAGTGAGCGCCACAATGGTAGTCGCATGTCACGCATTAAGCGCGGCACCTACTTGGGCGCAGGTGTTTCGTCGGAGAACGAATGACGCGCTGCTCAACACGAAGAAACCCGATCCTTCCGCGTTATCATATCCCACAAATAGTGATCATTTCCGCGCAGAGCTAGAGAGCGTCGCGTCGATAAAGGGCGAGGCGTAGTGTGGTGTTAGTGAGTGCTACGGTGAGCGAGAGTGGGTGTTCCTGTCGCTTCTAGCCCGTCCCGCCGAAGTGTTGCCGGTCGGGCAAGAGCCCCTCGGTACCACACTGCCTTTGACTTTGCTAACACAACGACCTCACCTCACCACCTCGCCGCACAATCCCGTACTATGCATCACCGAAAGGCATAATAGACAGAGATTCCACATCTTTGTCGCGGGCTTCTCGCACTTTCCCGAGGCGGACTAAGCCTGTTCTCACGACCCACGCGAAGGAACGACTGCCTGCCTGGATTAGATGACAGCTGCGCAACTCTATCAAATTCGATAGCAAGATGCCAAAATCATCTGGCGCTGTGCCGAAGGGGTGGGATGGGCAAACCATTTACCTTCATGCACCTTCATATTCCAAGAAGCTTTGTAGAGACAAAGTCAGCGCACTTATATTGCCAAAGTCCGATCTACCACCCGATACACAGGTTTACAAGCCGAATGGGCCGTACTCGAACGTCAAGATCACACCCGTCACGGACTCTGCGCATCCTGCACACGGACAGCACGCGCTTTATGCTAACCAGCATCTGCCACCAGACTCGTTCATCCTGCCGTACTTGGGCTATGTGCACGATCAGACTGACATTGATGAAGCATCCGACTACGACCTCTCACTCGACCGCGAACTAGGCATCGGTGTTGATGCATCCAAGATGGGCAACGAAGCACGCTTCATCAACGACTACCGAGGCGTCGCCGCCGCACCGAGCGCTGAGTTTCGCGATATACTTGTAGACATTGGGAACGGAAAGGTGGAGAAGAGAGTCGGAGTCTTCGTGCTCAGCGCTGGCAAAAGCGGAAAGAGAGCGAAGGGCATCGGGCGTGGACAAGAGATCCTCGTCAGCTACGGCAAAGGGTTCTGGTCAGATCGACACTCTACTGAAGAGTGACACGCCTGTACCACACCGCTCTCATGTCTCGCAACATGTCGCATCACTTTCATGTACATCAGCTGACTGCCGGTACACGTTTGCTTTTCGGTCAATCCTTTCTGCAGCGGCCGGGCGTCGATTGACGACGCCGTATGATCTGCGCGGTCAGGCCCTCGATCTCCTAAGACCAACCCCGACCAGGCAGTGAGGTGTTTGTGCCGTACGCGTATCATGCGGAGTATGTCGCTCCGACATGACGCTTACTCGAGGACATGCGAATACCTGAATGTTGGGTGTAATCGCGGCGCGCCAGGGCGACGATAAGCCAAGGTCTTGTTCCCGCTGTCATGATTAGGCGGTATCGTCCACAACGTACACG